ATGATGTATCAGTGTGTTGCTGTTTCGTTGTTCTGTCAATAGGCTGCAGGTGGGGAGATGACACCACTATATTCCTTAACTCTGACCGTCATGTGTGGCAGGAGGTGTATAAATCAAAGTGGCAAGGCAGGATTATAAATGTGTATTACAGCTTTAACTTTGGACACAATTTTGTACAGGCTGATATAGAACATATGAAGAAGAGCTCACAAAGTGTTTTAGCACTATAAAGATTTATTCATTTTTTTTACATAATCACAGAAAATAAATAAATTTAGATAGCCCTGCATACAATCCCACACCAATCATGAATGCATTCTTTGCCAGCCAGAACATCAGTTTTAAAAGTGGTTTGCATGTTGGCTATACGAGAACACAGCAATGCATATCTGCAGTTCCTGTGTGAAAGATCCATTCGCAGAAAGGAAGCTGTATTGATTTGGTGCGAATCACGTTGAGTCTGGTCCACGGAAGAAAAGGAATACTTCACTTATTTGTAGAAAAATATATGTTTAATCTGTTTCCACGTAAAGAACCTTGAGAAGACCTGCTCAAAATATCTCCTTTTTGGAGCGATAAGGTGTGGAAATTAAAACAGAAATTTCAACAATTTGATTGTCGGCAGACTGTGTTCCTGGAAAATGAAAGCAGTAGCGTGTGAAGGATTTCACCAGAAAAAGGATACAGGATACTAAACTGACACTGGGGACAAAAGTTGATTTGCATATTTCAGGATCTACTCAGGTTTGTCACATATTTACTTTCAATGTGTTGCACACTGTCAGGGTATTTCTATATAAAATTACAAAAACTGATGAACTATGACTTGTGCAGAAAACTAAATCAAACTTTTCTGTACACTGTAAAACAAGGGTCCAGAAGGATGTGCTGGACAGGTAAATTAATCAACCAAAATAGCCTATTGTGTACAAAACTAAGCAATGAACAAACAATTCCCTTGAGGAACCAGCTATTGTACTAACCAACTAAATTCAAAGAGATAAACATTGCAAATGAAGTCTAAGATTTGAGTAACCATGGAATCACAATTGACAATGCTGAAAGACCTCTAAGACTTCAAGGTCAGTAAACAAAAGAAATGAAACAAGAAAGACCCGGATTAAGGATATCTTTGCCCCATATGAAAAACCAACCAAGAAACATAAAAACTCCAAGACAGCTAATTCGCCCGATTGTTTCAAGATTGATATCACCCATGATTATTGTCTAAGGTTGAGTAAGTTATCAAACACATCCAAGGCTTACTCAACTGAGTGCAGACGATATGAGTGAATCATACCAATCAACTCCCATTTCTGAACCGATCAATTGGAAGAAAGTAAATAGTGGTTGGGGAGTCGCCAATATGAACAATGCTCTCAAACCATATAAAATACCATGAGAGACTTCCAGAAAAGGACGGAGAGGGAAGGAAGAGTCTGGAGAAAACTTCCTGGATATAAAAAAAGGACTGTCACTGATTGACCAATCGCTAAAGACTTAACTGCCTAAAACAAGCCATCATCTCATCCAATAAGACTCTGAACATTTTCTTTTGAAGGATTGGTGAGATATTGATCATATATGAAGAATTAACTTTCTTTATTCCAAAATTATAGCGATTACATTATTAGTTTGTTTTACAATTCTAATTAACAGTGTGCAGGGTGAATTCTTGTGATCATTTTTAATATCTTTCTCTATTTTATTCCTGAGATTGTATTGAGTATGGTTAAATTGGGTACAGATTTGTATGTAACTCGTTGTCATTGTAGGTATACTAGCCTGATTTGCTTGCCGTCCCTATTATACTAGTAAACCTATTATCTTCAGAAATCGTTAGGATCACCAGGGAATATTTACTTTGAGAGACGTTTCTTTCTTTCCTATGGCCACGGAGAATAAGAAACAATCTTAAAAGGTGTCTAGTTATTTTATTTTTTTTCTGATAATTTATTTACATTTATTTCATTGATTGTGTGTTTGACCTGTAATCACCAGTAATTTATGTTTTGTACAGAAATATATGATTATACTCGTATATTAATACATTATTTTGATTTATTAGTGTAATTGGGAGATATTTATATATTGTGGTAAGAAATCACCATAAGCTCAAAGAACTCAGGGAAGTGGTTTGGGGTGTATTATCAAGTGTCTGAACTGAATTCATACTGTTGTTACGTTATTTATTATTTGCCGTAATCGGCTGGAGGCACTGTCTATTAAATCTAAGTATAATTCAGACACCACCCTATTATTAATATTTTACCAAGATTTGATACCACTCAATCACAACAACACATCTTTACTGGTTTCAACATCCATCCATAATTGTATAGATCTGGGGGATTTTTTAAGGCAAAGACAGTGTAAAACAGATGTCTATCCAGTACAGATGTTAACTTAATCATCAGCAGATTTACAACAATACTAAATAACAGGAACCTGTGAAGATAGCGCAATAGGCCTTTTGCTGCAAACTTTTTTCCAATGTTAAGGCTGTATTCACAACTATTCATATCCGCGTCACTACGCTTTTCTTCAAGTGTGTTGACCTACATTTTACAGGCCTTGTAGGTTTTTAGAAAATTTGTTGGGAGAGTCGGATTTGTTTCCTGCAGATACATCATTGTTGTGGACTTTTGAGGGATGTGCTTCCTAGATTTCTGCGATGGCTCAGGAATATGTCCCCACTGCTTGTCAGCCAAGGTTTCCCAAGTTCCGCCACTGGAGAACTGACAAAGCACCCACAATACGCGAATGGTTTGTTCAGGTAGGCCACGTATATGAAATGGAAGAGCTCTACCATTCCACCGCGAGATACCAGGGTTGCACCCACCGAAAGGTCGTGACCACAGGAACAGTTCCTCACCAACTACACATGACACAAAGACCTACTACATTTCGGTTCCTCGAAAACACCCTGAAAACTACTCAGCAGATCAGGACAACCGATAATGGACAGCAACGGAACGTGACGATACTATGGCAGACACTTCTCTCCCCTATACCCCGCTGTGTTCCCCACTCAAATCGACCCTTAAAGTGATTCATACCTCAAATGTATGTTAGGTAAAGGTTTGCATTTGCACCCGCTTTGGGGTTGATGACGTGTATATGTATCTTCTGTTGAATCCTTGTAAAAACTCAATAAAACTTATTTGAAACAAAAAAGGTTTCCCAAGTTCTACTGTGTCCCTGTAAAAGCCATGGGAGGGGAGGTATGTGGGGGTTACGAACCTCCCTGATGAGTGTCTTACTGTAGCAGAAAGGCTGCAGCCTTCGTGCTTGATATGTGGTTGACCACCTGGCTGGTATCCGGGGGAAGAGCGCGTTACCGCGGAATAGCAAGTTGCCTTGTGCTTACCCACAACGCATTAAAATGCACAATACATGTGTTTTCATGTGCTTCTGTACACTTGTATTGCACTGAAAGTGAATACAAAGGCATTACAAAACTGACATGTCTCATTTTCACAAATGCACAGATGTGAACAGGCCAATTGGTTTAAATGTGTTTTAATTACATATTCATTCGATTGCGCTCTGACACACGTGTTAAAGCGTGAAGGTGTGAACTGGGCCTAAAGGTGGAGGCTCCAGGGCTCTCACCCTGAAATTTGCTTCATCAGCTACTGGGTCACTCACCTAGAATAAATACGTAGGACAGATGATTGGACCTTTCACACTTCACTGGTGGCATGCTTGTTCCAGGTCAGTGATTTACTAGATGAAGAAAGAATTAGGGCGAGAGCCTCAGAGCTTCCAACTTTAAAAACAAGCAATGACAGCTCTCTTTTTAATGCCCAAACAGGTTCACTTTCATGTTCACCCCTTATGCCAGTTTTCATGCATATCTGCCGTGCATTACGATATCAGTCACCGTTTGTGCACCTGTTTTATACTTCAATCTGACTTACAGGACCTGCAAGCTTTACACCAGTGCAATTTAAAGTAATATTAAACTCTCAAACTTGTTTTCAATAATGAACCCAGATCAGACAAATATACATTGCCCAGCAAAGCATTGCTTTACAATCATCATGTTTATGAACAGCTGCTTCCAACTCTCCTAGCTCAGCTACCCTGAACTTCTTGTCCAGTACAAGATCACAAAAGGACAGAGCAGACTCAAGCAACTGTTCACCTACTAGCTTGGAGAAGGGAGGAGAGGGGGCCCGGGAGTAACTGGATTTGTTGTGTCTGTGGAGACGCACATAGTTTACTAGCACACACAGAAGGGTGGCTCCATAGCTCTCTGCTTGAGAAAGGAGTCACTCTAAAACAAGATATCAGGACCAGTGCTCTGAGGACCAGCTGATTCTGCAGGAAACTAACTTTTATACATCAGGGAGCAGCATTCATAGTAAGTGATTTCATCAGAATTTGGAATAGCTTTGATTTTAATAATGACTAACGTCTAATTACTAGAGGGTTCCCCACAGAAGCTGTGAGCTTCACTTGATCTTAGTTAAAAGAGAACCTGGAAGAATTGTCTCAAGCACTGCACAACTTCATGCAGCTGTTCTGCATTGTCTCCTGTTAGGAGTTATAAATCCCCCACGCTACCTTTCTATTTTTACACCAAAGGCTTTATGCCCTCTCAGGCATTCAGTCACACTCAGCTTCTCACTGCTGCTGGATATGGCAGAGCTCTGCTCTGTTAATAAGTTAGCACTGCATTCTAAAACTCCTTTAAAAAGGTGTACAGGTTATCTGTACACTGCTGATGTGAGGACATGTGAACCCTACCTGCATCCGGAACGCAGTATATCACCTGCCTCCCCACCTGCTAAAACTACGGTTATTGAACCCTATGTGCAAGCTCCTTCGATGTACACGGTAAACCCAGTAAATACAGCATGAGGGTTCAATGTATACTAAAAGCTGCAGAGGAAAAGTTCTGTATCCTATCTGGAAGCAGTTATATGTAGGCAGAGCATACATCCCTAAATCATCAGAGAACCCCTATGCTTAAACACGTTCCATCACTGGAGAAACCTGCATTCGTTGCCGAGGTCTGGGAGACATGGACAGTGAAACAATATATTGGTCAGCTGTTCAGTCTTTGATATAGATGTACATCCACCACCTGAGACCACTCTTTGACATCACTTCATCATCACAACTCAATTTTTTTCCCCTACCATTGTCTGTTCTGGCATTTTCCCTTCATTTGTGTGGCTGTCATGAATCAAGTATCTCAAGGGAAGGTGAGGATGAGAGGTTGGGAAATATCCGCTGAGCACTGTAAGTTAGGAGTGTTGTTATTAGCATGGGCTGAATTAAAAAGCCCTCCACTTTGTGCAAAAGGTTTAAGGAGAGAATAGAGCAGAAGCTGTGTTAACATAAAATCAAGCTGACATCTGAGTCGCTGTCAAAGCCCTCTGCAAGTGGCAATAACAGCATTTCATCCTCTTCTTCAGGCCTGTCAATCTCCACACCACAATCACCAAGCCCCTCAGCTCTTTCTGCACCCAAGTGTTCCACTTCACTTAGCGGGTGTAAAATTCTTTCCCTGACCACCTGCACCATTCCCATCATCAGTCCACCCCTATCCTCAGTGGGATACATTGGTGAAGGAGAAATAGCAGGCTCAGTCTGGGAGACAGAAAAATCAGGGGGATCTAAAGGAGTCTTCACAGGAAGCAGTGGCGCTGAAGGAGGATCGCTGCCCTCTGTCACTAGCTGTGATGAGCCTGTACTCTGATTCTGATGGGTCTCAGTCTGTGTCCCTTGTGTACGAGGAGGAAGGAGCCCCCAACGCCTGAGTCGACGGAGCAGCCGTCTTACAGGACGTGGTGGGCGTCTCCGGGTTGGCAGGTCATTCGGGGCTCCAGCAGGGTGTGGCTGAGTCTGCTGTAAAAACTGCATTAGGCTTCGGAGATTTCCCATGAATGAGCCCTATGGTAAAGGAAATGGAAATCAGTGATCACATACAAATAGCATAGCATAGTGACATTGTGACATTATACCTCAGTGCAGAGCCTTCAAGGCAAAGGGGATAAGTGACGGGTTTTTTCATACATACTATGACCCACTTGTTTTGGAATCTGGCCACCTTTTCTTGCTCAAAGTCATACATGCCCCTTTCTATTTCCTATGACCCTTCATCGCCTCATTTTCTCAAGGTTCTAACCTAAGAAGGAGCTATAAAAATGTGCGTTTTCATTTGTTACATATAAATTAGATATTCCCTAATGCAATTTGAGCTTGGATAAGGTGTTCATTATTTTATCTAGATTACAAAATGGGGACAGGCTCCTCTTACCTATTGGTAAAGGAGAACTATGGGGTTAAGGCTTTTCCCCATAGTTCTCCTTAGGGTAACGGGAGGACACAAACTAGCGCCCTTCCGTCACCCTAGGCTCAGTATACCGCGAGCTGTAGCTCGCGGTATACTGAGACGCCGCAGTATACCGCGAGCAGCTGCTCGCCGTATACCGAGACGCCGCAGCTGAAGGGGATCCCGACAATTATGCCGGGATCCGCCCAGCTGCGTGACTGACAGCTGGCTCTGCCTATCTAAAGGCAGAGCCAGCTGTACCCGCCCCCTCCCCCGTCCGTTCCGCCAGTCAGCGCTGGCGGATCGGAGCGGGGAGGGGGGAATCCAGCCCCTCCCCTGTCACGGCAGAGAGCCGTGACAGGATCGAGAGGTGAGCGAACGCCGGTATGTGTTCGCTCACCTCCCGATCTACTGAGCCGACCTGTGACAGTCTCATGGTCACAGGTCGGCTAGAACTATGAGGTGAGTGAAAATCACTCACCTCATAGTTCTCCTTTAAGCTCTATTAACGTTCATAACTATGAAAATAAAAAAATGGCAGGGACCTTATTTTTCAGACTGTCTTCATAAAATACTCCAGCTCTTCTTTCTGGTAGGTTTTTCCTATCAGTATCGCTTACAAATTGCAGTATCAGCACCTGTCTCTCCGACAGACAGCTATTTTGGTAAAATGAAAAAACCTTATTCTGACCTTATGTAACACCTAACGTGTGTAAAAATGTAGCTGAACACACGTCAAGCCTTGCAGCCTTGGCCCTTTTACCCGATAGAATATTCTACCGGTAAGCGTACATTCCCAGCTGCCACTAGAGGGAGCACAAGGCTTCTTCCTAATGACAGGTACAATGTGTTCTGGGAATCAGGCTTTTTTACTGCAGGTTTAATTGCCAGTCATTAAAGTGATTGGTAGTGTCAGTGTGTGACTCTCTCCGAGAATGACTGTGTGTGTGTGTGTGTGTGTGTGTGTGTGTGTGTGTGTGTGTGTGTGTGTGCACGCTTCTTTCTTTTATTCCTCCTCTTTGTGTGCATTTCTATTCTAAAACCTTCCTGAAGGTGTCTATGCATTTCTACAGCCTCCATAGTGAGTGATTTCTCAGAGTCCCATCCCCCGGTTTCCTGTCCCATCACACATACTACCCACTCAACGCTCTCTCCCACTACTTCCAAAGCTGCACAATCTGGCCAGCTTACCCTTCATACCCAAATCAAGAAGTGGCAAAGAGCTCACTAATAAGCCTTAATATTCTGAACAGATCCAGAAAATAAATTTATATAAACACAGCATTGCAATAGATGCTGTAGGACAGGGGTCTCAAACTCAATTCACTTGGGGGCCACTCGACAAATTTGTTTCTCACATGGGGGCCGCTCGTCAAATTTCAGACTTTAAAATAAAATGTAACTATTTCCGGTTTGGTACTACGGACCCTAATATACATACTATATCAGTGGTTCTCAACCTTTTTAGGGCCGGGACCCATTGGTAACATTTGCCAAGCTGGGGTGACCCCCAATGCAGCGCTGGACTCCAGAATTAGTAAGGCGCTAGACTTAGGACTAAAAATAGAAGCACACTCACAAGAATACAAGCCCTCCCCAGCCCCATGCTTGCCTGCTCTGTCTCCATGCAGCCTTCTCAGGCCCAGCACTGCTAAGATGCCCGCCTCCTGCAGAGCTTACATTGAATGGGAGGCAGGAGGACAGCAACGGCTGTGAATAGAAAAGCCCTGCTGTACACACTCCCCGGCCACTAGATGTCGCTGCAGCGGCCAGGGAGTGTGTATAGCGGCACTTTTATATTCACAGCCTCTGCTGTCCTCCCGCTGACTGACACTGCTGCGCTAGGAGGAGGCTGAGGGGCCTCTCACCTAGCGCAGCAGAAGTGGATGCTGCGACCCCCTCAACAGTGAGTTGCGACCCACTTTTGGGCCGCGACCCACAGGTTGAGTACCGCTGCACTATATGCTAATGCTATGTGATAATTATTACATGCGGCTAGAAAACACTCTCCCTGGAAGCACAATCGTTGCACACAATCCCAGAGCCCCCTCTGCTGCTTACCTTGTTGCAGGGAGGAGGCTGTGAGCCACGATCGATCCCTGGTGATCTAATGGTGGATAGGTAAGGTCTGCTGCAGACCTTACTAATTAATCCTTTCGGCCAGCGTTCAACGAAGACCCCGGCCGAAAGTATCCGAGTGCCGCCACAGAAGCAGCTAAGCGGTCTGCATCTGACAGAGATGCAGGCCGTGTAGCTTCTCCCGCAAGTCTCGTGACAGAGTACCGGACTTGTGAGCGGGCTGCGGGCCACATTTGGCCCGCGGGTCGGTACTTTGAGACCACTGCTTTAGGATCTGCTGTGTCAATAGAATTATGATTCCAGGTTGAATAAAACAAGAAACTGTCTTGCTAGAACAATGTCTGATCCATGGTAGCCCGAGACAGTTTCCAGATCATTTTCTCCCGTTTAAACCATCTACGTTGTTAAACACCACAGAACATTGAGCAACAAGAGTTTATCTAAGCTGCTGCTGCATATTGTTGTAACACATTTGGATTTTGTCCAGCCTCAAAGTGAAATGATTTCACAACAGCCTTTGTTACCTTTATACAGTGACACTTCACTAAGAGCCAGCGTCATAGCTTAGAAACCTCACTATCAGTCTTCCTGAGACTAGGGAATTATCACTCACTGGCTTCTAGTCAAGTCACAAGACTGAACACATCCCTGCTATGATTAAATGGTCAACACCCAGTTCATGTATTATTGTATAACCACATGGGCTCTAAGTCTTTCTATCTGGATTCCATTAACTGGAATGGTTCCCCAGGTGTAGCATGAATTCAATATTGTGTACATTCACATTCTACACATTTTATAATGAGGCCTGCAATAAAAGCACTGATCCCACCTGTAAAGACCATTGAGAACAAGGACATGGCTACTGAAACACATCAATGGTAATGTGTAGGCTCCTAAAGAGTCCATTAAAGTACACCTGCACGAGAGAAACAAGAAGATGGCCATTGCCAACCTTGTTCTGAAAATGCTAGCTACCTGGCTGTCTCTGGCGTCAGACCTAGAACATGCAGCAGGTGCAGCAACAGCTCCTGATTTGTATCCTTGTTTTAGGTCAGTGATGAGTCAGCATGGATGCCATGAAGATAGCATTTTTAAAGGAAAACAGCAATGGCAGTCTAAGGGTATCTTTATTACACCTTTCCTTCAAAGTGACACTAAATTCAGGAGTTAAATCTTAAAAATGCATTCAGGTACCTTAACTATTAACAATACTGGACCTTATTTATGTATCACTCAGCTGTAGATCCTCATATCATGTCTGAATTGGTGCTGACACTGTCCTTCCTTCTGGAGGGAGGCCACTTTTGTTCCTCATGGTCCATGTGTGTGTATTGTAAAGAAGCCACCACTCCAAGCTCTCTCCTGTGATGGACTACAATCTCATGTTTAGTTTACTAATTATTGTATCTACTGTATTGAGATTGTAGTCCATCACAGGAGTGAGCTTGGAGCGGTGACTACTTTACAACACACACAGGGACCATGGGGAACAAAAGTAGTCACCCTCCAGAAGCAAGTGCAGTGTCAGCATGAATTCAGAGGTGATTTGAGGATCTACAGCTGAGTGATCCACAAATAAGGTACAGTATTGTTAACAGTTAAGGTACCTGAATGCATTTTTAAGATTTAACTCCTGACATTGGTGTCACTTTAAATGCAATGTGTCATCCAACTGAATACCCTCCTGGTAGAGCCTGCTATAGCCTGAGTCACAAGCTGTGTGCCGATTCTTAGGCAACAAGGTACCTATCGTGGAACTTGACAAGGCTTGTACTACTAGAAAAGCCTCCAGCACGCTACCAGAGCACAGACTTCTTAGTGGTTGTACTTCTTTTTGGCTTACCCATTGCTGCACAGACTGCACCAAGCATTTAGACAATCCTTTAGAATATTGTTCAGTACATCGATAAACATGAGCAAAAGTCACACCAAAAATGACTGACTAACAAAAGTGAAGTGAAAAACATTTTAAAAAAACAGCTTATAATATAAACAAAACACTAAAGAGTGAATGTAGCCAGATGGCAGCCACATTGTGGACACTCACATCATTTGGGCTCTCAGTTGGGAAGTCCTCTACAGGTGGGATGGCTCCTTGAGCAATCAGTTGCCCATAGGATGGAGGAGCTTGCTGCTGGATCAACTCTGCATCTATCCGAGAGAGAGGAGCAAAGATGCTGAAGAAAAAGAAACTTGGTTAGATAAGTTGATGGTTCCCAGTTTTACATTGATTTCTCTTAAAGTTAACCTACCATTAAAATTGAAACTTCACATAAAGTAATAGGGCACACACCAGCATTACCAAAACATTATTTCAAAAAGTGCCCCTTCCTTACTAGGAATAAAGAAACAATATATCTGCTCCTCTTGTAACATAAGGCCCAGGCAGCATAGAATAGATTACATGGTCTCTGGCTACTAGAAAAATTGTGGCCCTTTCACATTGTCAGGGACTGCAAAGTATGTTTTTCAATTAGATGCACCCTGTGTGGCAGACTTCATGTTAGACTGGAAGATCAGCAAGACACAAGGAAGCACAGCTTGCATATGTGATTAGCAAACATGGCCTGTCTCACAGAAACATATAGTTAAAAATAAGGATGCATTGATACGGATACTGGTGTCAGTAGCGATACTGATCATTTGGGCGAGTACCCAAACCAGCTCATAAATGCATACACGCAATAGGTTGGACTTGATGGTCTTTATTCAACCTCAAATACTATGTAACTATGGAGTACCCGTACTTGCCCAAATGCTCCGATACTTACCCCTTACTTATACCAAAACTTCATGTCAGAGGGAGATTCCCTCTGACCGGCAGTGCCACGAGGGAGCATGGAGCCGGCTTCCCGGCCAATCAGGAGGCCAGGCGCCAGGTTATGACCTGCCTCCTTGATTGACTAGGAAGCCAGCTTCACGCTGCTTAGCAACACTGCGAGACAGTATGGCTTCCGGACCAATCAGGAAGTCGGCGGCATGTCATGACCCGCCTCCTGGCTTTTTGATTGGCTAGGAAGCTGGCTTTATTGCTGCCTAGCGACACTGCGAAGCAACCTGGCTTCCGAACCAACCAGGAAGCTGGGCGGCATGTCATGGCATGTCCCGCCTTCCCAATAGGCACCATAAAGCCAGCTTCCGGGCCAATCGACACTGCGAGGCAGCCTGGCTTCCTGACTGGTCAGGAAGCCAGGCTGATTTTCAGTGTTGCGAGGGAGTATAAAGCCGGTGTGCTTTCAATAAAGTACTAGCTTCCTGATTAGCCGGGCCCACACTACCTCGGGATGCCAGGATCAGTATTTGGTATCGGTGAGTACGGAAAAAAAAAAAAAAAATATTGGTACTCGAGGCTGAAATCCCTAGTTACAAACTATACACAGAATTAACGTTTTTAGAACACTACCATGCACCAGTTAGATTTTTTTTTTTATATCACGCTGAACTCTTTCATATGCATGTCTAAACATAATCGGTGAAAAATACAGTTAAATTGTAAATCCCCATCTTTCTCACCTATATTCCCGTGCTCGCGAAGTATAGAGTCGGCATGTACATCCAAGAGCTACCACTAGTAATGTGGCACAGATCAAGCTCCCAATCACGGCTGCAGCAATCACTTTCCTTGGAAGTGTGTACCCACAGTTTTTTTCATCGCTACCATCCCGACAGTCAGCTTGGCCATCGCATACCCAAGCTTCATAAACACAGCGCTCTATGTCACAATGGAAGCCTCCAGGCTGACATCCATGGCAGCCTCTTTCATCTGTTCCATCTTGGCAAGATGTCTGGTAGTTACACCTTTCAGAAAGGGGATAACAAGCCCGGCTCATAGCACAGGGATAGTGACCTTCAGCACAGCCACTACAATAAGCTTCATCTCTGCCATTGGCACAGTCCCAAACTCCATCGCAACGCTGTGAATCTGAAAAACATCCTCCTCCTATTTCCATTCCATCCTCCCACAAAAGACCTGGACTGGAGCCACATGGCTGGTCCCAAGGGAGGCAGTAGCCATGCACACGGTAAGTGGCATTAAATCCAAGAATAAAAGAGGAAGACCATGAGCTGCGAACACCATAGCCAGGAATGCGAGAACGAGAAGGAGATGAACCCATCTGGTCGAAGAAACGTGAACCTGGCTCATGAACTAAAGTGCTGGGAAACCTAGATCTGCGGTTAGTTGTTATAGGAGAGTCAATATTAGGGATACGAGTAAGGCTTGGGTTGTACTGATAAATAACCAAGACTCTTCCACCAGAAGACTCCACGGTGACAGATTTCCCATTACTGTGTCTGTCTAAGGCACGGAGAAGGAGTGGTAATTCCCCAACACTATTCTCATAGACTACAATGGTATCTAGCTCAGACAGATTGAGGGCAGAGAACTGCAGGACAAGACCTCGGCTATCTTCAGAATCAATCAACCAACGACAATATAAAGGCGTTGCAAAGGATGGGGCAAATGGATTTCCAAGAGGAGAGAAGACTCCATAGAAGTCTTTTAAGGTAAAGTTGCAGTTTGAGGAGCATGCTAACTCATCTGATTGATCCTCACAGTCAAAGGAACCATCGCAGAAAGTATGTAGTGGAAGACACTCAGAGTTACACTGAAAGAAGCCTGGGTAGCAGGTGGATGATTCTGACAAAGCAAAAGAAAAAAAAGAAGAGATAAATAAGTATAATTTTATTTTATCCTTTCTAATACCACAAAATGTATGTATGCAACATTGTACATGAAGGAAATCACATTTCAGAAGTTATACACTTACTAAGTTACAGAAGATCAACTGCACAAATGGGTTGAATTAACAAAACAGTGAAAAGACCTAGAGACAAAGTCCATATTATACTGGTCTGACATCAGTATAGTTTAATAGGTTATTATAGGTTACATCACTTTGTACGCAAGAAGCTCAAGGTAAAGAAAAAAAAACTGCCTTAAGCACTGAAAATATACAAGGCTAGGGTAAACTAACTTAGGGCCACAAGCAAGCACACACATACACACACAGAGGAAAAAAAAAATCATGATGCATAAACTAGGTGTCTTGGGCCAGGTTTGATGACATCATAGGTCCTCTTTGCCCTCTTCTTGCTCTGGCTTCAGCGGTGCATAGAGCAGGGCCATGTAATGGCATTTCTCCTGTGAGATCAGGGTGGGGGTTATCTTGGGTTGACAGGAAATTGGCTGAATATTGCAGAAAGTTAAAAAACTTGGAAGACAAATATTGCTGCGTCAGAGATCTAGTGAGTTTGCAGGGGACATTGCCAGAGATCAGGTGAGTATAGAAGCCAGAGCTGCTTTTCTATTGCCAGGAGCTGTCAGAGACTGGTAAAAGTAAATGTTTGCCCAAGCTGGAGCGTTAATGAGGCCAGGGCACATATGATCTTTGGCACTCTATACCCGCACTGTAGGCTTTAATTCGGCCCCTGCCTGAGCTAATATACAATCCAGTACCAGAACCTCTCTACCTAATGGTCTATTCAGGCTCTGTTAAATGCACATGAATACACGTGACTATTAACTTGTATTTACTTATTAATGCATAAATTGTAGCTCCAGTCCAAATTATCTTTTTGTTTTTGACATGGTAGTGAAGGGTTAAAAGCTGTCAGATGTCCCCTTCCCCACTTCCTGTTACAGAGACAATATGGAGTGTTCAAGCAAAACTAAACCAAAGCTTTTTTTCCCCCCTCATTTTGAATTGAGATCGGGAGGGTTATTAGGGCTCATTCACAAGCACATAGAGGGTCATACACCTTCAAGAAGGGGAATATTTCTGCAGCCAGGAGTCACAGGCGTTTGCTTACAGCCATGACATCTGTCAGCCTGGCATTAGAGAAGTTATATGCGTACAGGGGTGGATGAGCGGCCCCGGACACAAACAGTTTACCAGTCAAATGTATCAGTTCCTGTATAGGTATGAGAAAGATCATCTAATATGACTTGGTTTGTGGCTTCAGCCTGATAACACATTCATATCATTATATTAAGCCCTATTATTTGACAGACAGCAAAACCACCTTTAACATTCCAGGCAAATGTGATCACTAAAAGGTGGGGCACAAAAGCATAATTAGTTCACAGTGTTTATTGCCTATTTTTAAAACTAGATGCAATGATGAATAGGTAAAACATTTCGGAGCTTTTCAGATGAAGACATTTACTATAAACCTGACATTGAGAGAAATATTTAGGCTGCCATTGCTGATCAACCTCTGAAAATACTAGTTGATTAACCTCAATATTTTCTGACTCACTAACCCTAAGCAAGTATGCAGATCAGAAAAAAATCCTTAGAAGAGTCCTTAATTGCAAACTTGTTCGGGGCAAGGGACATACACATTTGATAGGAGGGAGCGGGAAACTTACCCGGAGGACCACAATCCATTTCAGTAACTTGGTGTATATGATAAAGGATCTGAGGGGGCAATATATGGACTGTGACTAAAGTGTTTGACAGCGTTACTTGTATATGATCACCCCAACTTAGTGAGGACTGCAGAGGTGTATACTGGAATAAGGACTGAGCACCAGCAACATCTATTTATTATATAGAGACAAACTTATAGCTGGTGGAAAGGCTAGTTTATGCAAGTCTGTTCACCCTAAAAGCATGGGGAGATTCTGATACCTGTAGAAAATACTATTCACACCACCACTGTGTAATTGTTTTTTGCAGATTTGGGGAATTTAAACTTACCGTAAACTGAATCTCCATTTACAAATACCAGATGTCCTAAAGGGGAAGCAAGAAAAGGGACAAGTCAGTTAAAAACTTTATTGGGTTATTATACTCCTCAGGATACAATTCCAAATATTATCTCACCAAACAGAAAGCCTGACAACAATATGCAATTACTCTTACCCCTGGGATCAGTAATAGGGTAAGAAAACAGACATATGGTAATGTAACAAAACTATACCTGTACTATAGACACGCTCATTTACAAGAATATGCATACATCACATTTTGGGGCAGTTAGCATGCAGCACATTTACTTGGACGCATCAACTTCATGTAGCAATTTTGTGAACCACATTGTGATAGTTAGATGGGGGTATAATTTCAGGAAATACACAAATGTTGATGTCATTCCCATTGCTACTGCACCATGGATGAGTCCAGACCTATTCCTTTGTTCAGGACAATGAGAGCATACAGTCTTAGCACTACAAAGCAAAGTCCTCATATTCATCACCACCCCCATGTCACAAATCTGGAGTGAAAAGAAAGTAAACAGAAAAGGTGACATCAACAACCTTCTGGTGAGATTCCAGGCAATGTACCCTAAATCTTGCGAGAAGATGCTACTGCACTGTGCTGGAATATCATTTTGCGAGCTTAGGAGTACCCAGCAACCATACAGGAAGGATTGTGGTGTTACCCTTGCTCAGGTGCCCTGACCAGCAGCCAGGGCTAAAGTGTTTCTATTTACTAACTTTTCCTCACAGATTTTTTTTTTTTTTTTACTTTACTGAAGTGTTTTGGCATGAGGGAGGGCTGAAAAAACGAAGCCAGCCTTGCTTTCTTGTGCAAGTTAACAGAAGATGGTTCTGAAATAATACAAAGACTGAACAATAGCTGCAAAATGAAATATTTAAATAACACAATATATTCCAGTATGCAGCCCATACAGTGGACACCACTCATCAAACAGTTGTTAAGAACTGGAGTAATTTCACCACAGCCACCAGTCAATTCAAACATTCAGAACAGGGCTGATGTTGACTGGTTTAGCAGAAGCTACTCTTGTTCTTATCAATAATGCCCTGTATATGTATGTTTTACATAGAACTAGGATAAGTACCTGAACTTGTCCTTATATCAGCTTCATGCAATTCACATTAGCATTATGTAGAAGAAAGGCCAGCACTGAGAGGCACCCAGGACTCTATTGCTTTGTACTGCAATTCTCAGCCTACCATTCAGCATGCGCACAGGAGAGGAGGGCACGAAGATGACCTCATCAGTGTGCTGCGATCAAATGCTAGGAGATAGGACATTTGGGATATAAACTTAGATCTTGAAATTAATTGCGCCTAAAGTTATGCTTTAGGGACACCCAAACAAGTTCTCACTATCATGCAGAATATAGCACATGGTGATAGATTTCAAAGAGTCTGCATAAGAAAGAAACCAATTTACAAAGCCCGGAGCAATGAAAACTGAAGCAGATTATTGTTGACAATGCAAAACCTATATACTTTAATAAAAATCTAAAGTAAAAAAAAAAAAGAAAACTGAAGCAGAGGTGGAGCAGCCGTCCATAAAGGCCAGATTTAAAAGATGGAATCTGATTGGTTGCTGTAAGTACTAGTTTCCTCTAAGTGTTGTATATAATGGAACAATACACCAAAGCAGGGAAATATTTTGGTCTAGAATACTAGAAGACACATTTTAATGTTCAACCAGTCTAGAAGCTGGGAGACATCCATAAGAGAGGCTCAAAATGTTAGCCCCAGCTTCAATTTTATTTAGCACATAGGTTAAATGGAACCTGTTCTCCATTTGTCCACCAGAAGACAAGCTTCTTTTATTTTGCCAGATTAGTGCAGAAAGTTTAGAGTTTAGGTGATACCCCTTTTATTGGCTTTCGGGATTCCTTAGATCCCTTTGTCAGGCTTTAGAAAAACACAAAAGTACTTCTTTTCAAGTGATCACAGGTAAATGCTAAAACTCTTTTCACGGGACCCTTCATTGATTCTTAATGGAAGCCAGGCCAGGTGTTCTAAAGGGAAAAGTAGAGGTGTTGTGAAGGACACTCTCACTCTGTTGTTGACACTTACCTAGAATGTTCAGCAAAGTATAGATACAAATCTGAAAAGCATTGTGGGTATGGCTAAAGACGACACAGAAACTTTTGTGTTTACACAGTTGTAAAGAAGTGTCATTAAACAGACTAAACACAGCCCAGCAGTTTGTGAGGTCAGGAATATACTTCAAAAGCTATGGCCAATTTACCCTGCGTGAGCTTCCTTGGGCAAATCCACTGACAATAATAGCCATAACTTTTAACCAAAGACACCACCACCATGTTAACTTTCAGCCATGGCAGCGACCGGAACTGACACACAAACTTTATTGGCTCACAAAGTTTATAACAAGTAAAACAATTGTCAGAATGTTTATACTGCTCTGATATACAGTTCTATTTATGGAAACAATTAAAAATCTATGGTTAAGGAGATTCCCAATGTATTTCCATAAATCAAAATTTACGCAAGTTCTTTCATTTGCGCTGACTTCGAAGACAAGAGGAATACAAAAGTATACAAAATATAGATATTTATCAAAAATCAGTGCAACAATAATAATAAAATATAATTGGTGACAAAGAATATAACGGGGGACCCAGAAAACCACGGCGGAGGGCGGACACGATCGCCGATGCTGCCGCCGCTCGATTTAATACAAGGGATCTATTTAGATCCCTTGTATTAAACGAACAGTGGATCCCACTGTACATTCAGCTCTGCTTGTCAGGAGCAGGGCTGAATGTACAAAAAGAAACTACTCGCCCGGCGCCCGAAACTGCATGTCCCGGGCGTCGGGCGATAGGTATTCGCTCCATAAGACGCAGGGACATTTCCCCCCTCCTTTTGGGGTAAAAAAAGTGCGTCTTATGGAGCGAAAAATACGGTAATGGTTTACCCGAATATATATATAAAATGTGTGGCTAATGAATTGCCTAATATACAGATAAAAAGTATACTTTACCAGCAATATAAATTTAGTTGTTTTGGAAGAAGTCAGCAGTCAATGCTCAGACGGAGGACGGTCGTAAGTGCGAGTGGTCGCAAAACAGGTAAGTCGTTAAGCGAGGAGTATCTGTATAAAATTTTACTTAAAATCAGTCAAGTAAGTAGGCAGATAGATGCTACATATAATATAATAACATTGTTGTTAATATTTATTACTGCAATGAATAGTAAGGTTTCATAAGGAACTTTTAAATAAGCCCCTTTCTTCAATTCATTGAACAAAGAGGAAAAAAAAAAAAAAAACTCTTTAGAAACTCCAATTTCTTGTAGATTGTATTCTCGTGGAGGCCAGAAAGTTGTCAATCAAGACCGACACAGGCTGGTACTATCCTAAACTGATATGCGTCTGAGACCCCCACAATTTACGATCGGAGGAATGTTTATACTAACATTCCTAATTTCTCTGTGAAGGTCTCTGCACAAGAAAAGAATGAACTTTTTTTCACCTTATAGCACATAGACAAAATGGCTACTAGTATGCCCATAGACACATCTGTAAAATGACATGTTTAGGCCTATGAAATCGATTCCTTTTGGCCCAATAGTTCTGACACAATCCGTGTGTGCAATAATGCTACTTAAGGAGGCACCGATACTTGTATTTAGTCTTCAATGGCCATCTTTATGGTGCTTACATATGAATGTGGCATTAATAATAAATAGAGCATTGCTACTGCAGGACTTCCCCGGGAAACTCAGATAACCCCTTCCTTCCTTCTAAACATAAAAAAAACACTTTTCTCATAGACTATATTCTAACATGTTAAAATGTCTCTGGTTTCTACAAAAATTGTTAAAACCGTCCTAAACCCTAACGTACACCTTATCTATTCTATACCACACCCTCAACCTACAATCTACCGTATGTAGTTGTTGTGATACTTGACCATCAGCTTCTCCAGGTTCCCAGTACCAATGGACAATTAGTGGTTGTTACAAAAAAAAGTGATCTGTGTTCAGGCTCAGCACTGAAGTTATAGGATAACTATACTTTTGTTAAGTTACCCTTTAATCTCCCCTAGCACCCCTCCAAAACCCTACACTTCCCGTTCCATGCTGCTGCCAGATTCATACTGTGCAGCTCCAGAGGTAGATGAAGTAACACACCAAGTCCTATCTGCCATTGCAGCAGAAGGGCTTGCAGTTCTGAATGGAGTAGAAGTATGGTGATGTTAACATCCATTAATTACTTCCCCCAGCTCCATAACGGAAGGCGCATACCTCCGTACAGACCTAGGGCTGGAGAAAGAGTCTGCAGTAGCGTGGGCATCCACTGATCCCTGTTGTAATGCTCTGCAGGCTGAAATGAAAAAATATAAATGTTCCCTTTTTCCATTGTGCTTGCATTTCATTTTATTTTTAAATAGACTATGCCTTTAAGTATGTGATGATAGTTAGCCACAACAAAAGGAGATGCTGAAACTGCGGTTTGAAGTGCAATTACAAAATAGCCTGTTAAGAAATGGCAAAGGCACTTTTCAGCTGCAGACACCAACAGAAACATGCACCAACACATTTCAGCTGACTCGAGCCTCAACATGTTCACAATACTGAGCCACATGGAGGAAAAGTAAAAGCTAAAAGGGTGGTTCTCGTTGCCTATAGCAACAGGATTCCATCACTCAT